CCCCCCCTCCTGCAGCCGCAGCTCGAGGGGGCTGCGGGTGCTGAAGCGGCCCTTGCACTGGAAGGGCAGGCTGAGGCTCTCGTTGGTGCGGTGGTTCATGCAGATCAGGCAGGGCATCTTGCCCTTCACCTGCCTGGCCCCCGCCGCCGGCGCCGCCTTGCCCAGCTTCCGCAGGATGGTGTTGAAGCGCGACTTCTCCTTCACCGTCTTGGCGCAGAGGATCTCCGCTTGGCCCATCAGCGTCAGCTCGTCCCCGGCGTGCAGCGTGAAGTTGTACACCTCGCTGTCCTCGCTGAACTCCCCCGACACCACCTGCCCCGGGACAGCCCCACCATGGGACCCGCCGCACGGGCACTGTCGCCTGACGTCCCACCACCATCCTGTAATGTGCCACCACTAACCCCTGATGCCCCACCACCATCCCCTGCTGTCCCACTGTTCTCTCCTAAGGTCCCACCACCGACCCCAAAGTCCCACCATCACCCCCTGATGTCCCATCACCACCCCCTGGTGTCCCACAACCTACCTCTGACGTCCCATCACCATCCCCTGATGTTCCACCACCAACTCTTGATGTCCCACCACCATCCCCTGATTCCCACCACCATACCCTGATGTCCCACCACTACCCTGATGTCCCATCACCATCCCCTGGTGTCCTACAACCTACCTCCCACCACCGACCCCAATGTCCCACCACCACCCCCTGGTGTCCCACAACCTACCTCTGACGTCCCATCACCATCCCCTGATGTTCCACCACCAACTCTTGATGTCCCACCACCATCCCCTGATTCCCACCACCATACCCTGATGTCCCATCACCATCCCCTGGTGTCCTACAACCTACCCCTGATGTCCCATCACCATCCCTTGATTGATGTCCCACCAGCATCCCTTACTGGCCCACTGTGCTCTCCTGATGTCCCACCACCGATCCACTGGTGTCCCACCACCACCGACCCCTGATGTCCCACCACTATCCCCTGCTGCCTCACCACCGCTGCCTGACATTCACCTGCCATCCCACCACTGTCCCCACACAGACCTTCACGCTGAAGGTGATGGCCTCCATGACGAAAACACGATCTGGGAAGATGCTGGCCACCTCCTCCACGCTGTTGAAGTACTGCACGGGTTCACGGATGTCCCGGTCCTGGTCCAGCAGCTTGAACTTCCCTGCGTGGGACAGCCGGACCCACGGTGGTGAGAGGAGCCCATCTCCAGGGCCGGGCCGCAGGGACCTGCTGGGACCCACCTCGGGGCCAGCACAGCCCTTTGTGGGGGGCAGCCGCCCTCGAGATGGGCCTGGGGGTCCCCATCACATTTTTTGGGGGGGATCTCTGTGAGCATCACCCGGTGTGGCCAAGTGCTGCAAGGGGACACCAGCGCATCCCCCATACGCTTACCCCCCACACGCAGCAGCAAGGCGGGGGTCGGGTGGGATGAAGCGCAGCCCCCCGGGCACGGGGGGTGTCTCGGCAATGCCACTGCGGCACCCCCGGGAGCTGCAGGGACCACCAGCCCAAAGCGGCCCCAGGGATGGAGGAACCCG